TGGCTTCAACTGGTTAGGTATGAAATCACCCTTGGGGATGATTTCTTGCTTTCTATCTCTGTCTCTCTCTGTCTTTCTGGTGGGTGCACGTGCCCTATAGCAGAAACCTCTCAAAAAAGAAAAGAAACAAAGTGTTTTTGTTTTAATTGGTCCATTAAGGTCTACATATGAATATTCTATATAATGCAATAAACTGTGCTTACTTACATACATGTGGTCTATTGCTAAATTTTTTTTGAGAGAAAGATTTTTGCTATAGGGCATGTGCACTTGCCAGAAAGAGACGGAGAGACAGAAAGTGAGAAATCACCCTCCAGGGGGGCCAGCCACGTTGCAATCCCTTCTCCTCCATTCTCCTCTTGGGATCTTGGACACGCACATACACAAACCCCGGTGTGAGTTTAAGCCACCAGATCCAGGACTCGAACCGCAGTCAACTACGTGGGAGTCCAGCAATGTAACCATTACGCCATTGGCTAGTCTATTGCAAATTTTGTTAGAAATAATGTATTTGTTGTTTAATGATAACATGCATAAAAATTCATATAAAAACCATCTGGAGAAAAAGTTCTGTTATTGTGAAAACACAAATAATTACATATAAGAGGGTATTTCTTCCCTTTATATCTTAAAATTGATCCTTTTCTCTCCTTATGATTGTAGCAGGAGGAAGCAGAATGGGAGAGCATAAACGCTCTACTGATGATGCATGGTTTAAAACCTTTGTGCCTAGTCAAAAGAACAGATCTTAAAGGTAATCAGAACCTATTTTTGCTCCTTAAGGTGAAAAGCTTCTTTTTCCTTTAAAAATGTTACATCTTAAGTTTTTCCCCCTTATCTTTATTTTTTCTATCTGTACTTTTTTTTTTTTTTTTTTTTTTTTAAAAAAGTAGATCGATCTTATCATTTTTGACAAGCAGTCATCACAAAGGATGAGGCAGAATTTGAAAACATTGATGGAAGAGACGACACGTCAGCAGACCATGATACGGGAGCTCATAGAAACCAACCAGCAGCTTAAGTAAGGAAATGGAGAAGGTCTTCTCAATTGTTCTCTTGTGTCTATAAATAACCACCTTGGAAAGAATCTTGGGATTTAATTTTCCCTTTTGATTAAATATTTCATTCAAAAAACTTTTTTATAGATAAACAGGTAAAAAGTTTTTTAAAACTTAAAGAATTATTTAGCTTTATTTATTTGTTTGTTTTTATTTTAATTTGACCAGAGAGGGATAGAGTGTGAGAGAGAGAGGGAAACTGAGAAAGTAAGCTGCCAGGTCCAGGACTAGAACCACAGTTGGCCGTGTGGGAGTCCAGCGCCCTAGCCACCATGCCACTGCCAGCCCCAATATATAAAATTTTAAGAGGTAGATGTTTTGGTGATAAATAGCTATATAATGGTACCCTTTATTTATTTATTTTACTAGTTTCTGTTACAAAATAGACATTTTTCAAATGTGAAAGAGTTTTAGAAAGTCAATATTGTTATGAGATGGGTATGTTTGGTGGTTTCATTTATTTTAAATACTGAGGGAAGGAACTGTGTGTCTATTAAATTAGGAAAGATCTTCAGCTAGAACAAAATCGAGCAGCAGATCAGGAACAACGGGCTAATGACTTGGAACAAATTATGGAGAGTGTAAAGTCCAAAATTGGTGAACTGGAGGATGAATCCCTAAATCGAGTTTGCCAGCAACAGCAGAAAATGAAAGATCTTCAAAAGGAGCAGAAAGCTCTACAGGTACTGCAGTCGCTGTGTTTTCTTAGACGATTCGTGGCCCTTGGTGACTCTGTCGTCCCTAATTCAGTGGTCCTTACTTGACTTATCACCGTTCTTCTCTTCATCGCACTGTTACCTACCTCTCGCTTGATTTCCAGAATATCCTCTCTCCTTGTTTCCCTCTCACCTCACTGGCCATTCTTCTGTTCCTTTGCTGCTGGTTCTTCTTTTTTGGAGAGGTTTTTGCTATAGGGCATGTTTACAATAGGGCTTGTGTGCTCGCCAGGAAGACAGAGAGAGACAGAGAGACAGAAAGTGAAATATCACCCCCCAGGGGGGATGGCCACGCCACAATCCCTGCTCCTCCGTTCTCTTCTTGGGATCTTGGGCATGCACGCACAGGCGCCTGGCGTGAGTTTAAGCCACTGGGTCCAGGACTTGAACCACAGTCGACTACATGGGAGTTCAGTGACATAGCCATTACACTAACTGCTGGTCCCGCTGCTGGTTCTTCGATCTCCCTAACCTCTTGGGGGTGTTTCTCTAGTACTCAGTTCTTAGATCTTTTCTTTTCTTTCTTTTTTTTTTTTTTAAGAGGTTTTTGTCTTAGGGTGTGTGCACTCAGTGGAGGGAGAGAGAGACAGTTAGGGGGAAAGTGAGAAATCCCCCCCCAGGGTGGGTGGCCACACTGTAATCCCTTCTCCTTCCTTCTTCTTCCGGGATCTTAGGCACGCACACACACAAGCCTAGCATGATCCTCAAGCCACCGGGTCCAGAACTCGAACTGTAGTCAGCCGTGTGGGAGTCCAGTGACACAACAGCTGTGCCATCTGCTGGCCCCTGTTCTCTTCTCTATATACTGTAACTCCCTTGGATCGCTTGCAGTAATAGCCAATGTTTAGTTGTACACGATGTTTCTGACCCTTGTAGACATCATATCATTATGCCCATGTTCGGTATTTTAGTAGTTGCTGGTGCCATAAGACTATATGTACCTGTTGCACATACGGGTTCAGGCTGCCTAAAAGGAAGCACTGTTTCTTAGATAAGGCCCAGGAGTCCCCTCGGTGTGTGTTGGCAGTGTTGGAAGGATCAGATGAGTTAGTCAGAACCACAGGAGCCAGAGAGGATCAGCCAGAAATACCTTCATGTGTGGAGCCTTTGTGTGAGGACAGATGCAGTTGGCATCGTGTCTCATTTGTGCCGCCCCCGTGGGGCAGCAGTGCTGTGGCTACTGATCCTGATTACGACTTTGGAAGAAACACTACAATTAGTCCATGGCCAAAACTGTTTCTAGCATTTATCAGTCAACAGACTGTACCACTACAATGCTATATTTTGGTACCAGCAGGTGTTGCAGTGGTTAAAGTGTTGTATTCCCACATAGTCAACCAAGGTTCGAGTCCCAGACTCAGTGGCTTGAAAGTGAAACCGAGCGCATGTGCGTGCATGCTCAACATCCCTAGAGGAGAATGGAGGAAAAGGGGTTTTGGCTTAGGCCGTTCCTCCCTGAGCGGGTGCTTTTTCACTTTCCCTGTCACCATCTCTCTTTCTCTCTGGCAACCATACGCAGCCTATGGCCAAAACCTTTAAAAACCAAGAACGCCTCCTGCTGGCCCGATTGTGTCTTTTCTTTAGTTGCCAGAGGGCATGTGTGTTCACCAGAGAGAAGGGAGAGTTGGGGAGAGGGAGAAAGCATGCCCCACCCACCCCGGTGGAATGTGGTCATGTGCAGTTTCCTATTTTCCATTTCTCCATCCTGTCTGGATTTGGGGCATGTATGCACATGTGTCCAGTGTCTTTTTTTTTTTTTAATTTTTTGAGAGGTTTTTGCATGTGTTCGCCAGAAAGACAGAGAGAGACAGAGAGACAGAAAGTGAGAAATCATCCCCAGGGGGGATGGCCATGCTGCAATCCCTTCTCCATTCTCCTCTTGGCATCTTGGGCATGCACGCACACACGCCTGGCGTGAATTTAAGCCACCGGGTCTGGGACTCGAACTGCAGTTGACTATGTGGAAGTCCAGCAACATAGCCATTA